TGATTCGTAGGCGGGTTTGGAGGTATACTTGGGGTATATTTGAAATCTGTCCCAGAATCCCCAATTTTGCCTATATACCTTTTAGCATAAAATGGGTCGAAGATCATGATTCCGAATGACCATAATCCCGAAAATTATTATTACTGCGCCCATTGAATGCAGTTCGTCTTTCCAAATTTTTAAATTTTACAAAATTTTTATATTCACCACTTTTTAAAATACTTTTTCAACCATCGTTTTTTAACAATAAATGGATGATAGTTGCGAAATCGTAATATTATTAAAGCCAAATTTTAATAATAATTAGCTAACCATAATTATATTCGGGATTTGGAACTTCGGGATTTAAACAGCACTCCACTATGTGCTTTTATTAATTTATCTACTAGTTTTCATATAGGCGGGATAATTAATATACAAAATCACATAATAAAAACCTTTAATTAATTCCTAAGAATGTTGCTAATTTTAATTATTAAGCTAATTAGTGATTCGCTTTATTATTTACGTTGGTTAGTTTATTTATAATTCAGAAATGATTTAAATAGTTAAAAGACAAATCAAATAAACAACAACTTTTATCAGATTCTTTAGTTAATATTAAAATACCTAATTGATGGAATAAATTATGCTTTAGAAAACCTAATTATTATTTGTGATTTTTATATAATTAAAATTAATCTACGATATCAGATTTTCCAGTTTTATTTTTTGATAATTTTTTAGTTTAATCTTTTTTTTTTATTTTGGTTATCTCACAGCGATCGAGTGATTTTTTTTTATAAAGATATTCTTATAATATCAATGATTTTTTTTCGCTTTTTCGCTTGTATCATTTCAAATCTATACGGGTATATATATATTTTTAGTTGTATTTTTTTTAGTCTTTATTTTTTTAAATTTTTTTTTTTATACGACGATAAATATTATTTCCTCCCCATTATTTTTTTTTTACTCTTTCAAATTGGATTATTTTGAAAGAATAGGCAAGATTTTCTTGCTGATTTGTGGTGAAGGGGATTATAGCCACAATTACTGCGTCATTAAATGAATATATGATTCATTTAAGAAGTTTCATCATTATTATCGTTTGCTGATGTCAATTAAATTTGCTTTGTAGCGCAGTTAATAATTTTAGGTGATACAAGAATTTTCAATTATGATCGACATAGTCTTATGGACATGTCACCTGACTGATAACCCCAAATTCAACTATTTGACACCGTGATTTGTCATACACAAAAGATCAATATAAACACGTCTTCTGGTTTTTTTTTTACTCTTATATAAAAAAAATATTAAGAGGAAAAGCAGAAATTCATTTCCTTCATTTAAAAATAAGTTAAATGAAATTTTATTAAAACACTTAAATGAGTTTGGATTTGAAGAGAAAGAGCCATCCCAACATCAACACCATCACCAGCAGTAAAAATAAAAAATGGGTAGGTAAAAAATATTCCTTTTTTATGAAAAGGCTAAAATATGACATTACTTTTATGATAATAGTCTTAAAGACTTTATAGTATATAAAAAAGTATATCGATATATTAAGAATGTATTGTTATTTTTTTTTAAAAAACAAAGTATTAATTTATTATTTTTAAATTTATTAATAATAATATAGGTAAAAAATCGGATCCATGTTGCCGTGATCATAAGTTGTCAGTTTTTTTTGGAGGAAAAGATACAGAAAGCCTTAAGAGAATTTAAATTTACACATATGGGAGCGTTTCCAGTAAAATCACATTACGGATCATATGATTTACTATGCCTAATTACTTGATTTTACTGGAAACGTTCCCATATAAGGAAGGATCCTGGATGAGGGTAAATTAAATAAAGAATTAATATATTTTGAAATTAATTAATTTATAATTGATTATTAAATAAAAATTTGTTATATTTAGCCATGGATTTGTTCATTTTTATAACAACGCGGATAAGGATCAATTTTATAGGAATATGAAAGACAAAGATTTTATTGGACCTGAAGGTAAAATATTTAGATTTAGTGAAGCCCGACCAAAGAATTGCAATGATGTGCAATCTGTAAGTTATTAGCCTATTACTACATTAATAAAATATAAATCAATGAAATAATTGTTTATTAAAATTTTTTTTATTATTTTATTTTTAAAAAAATTAGGAAGAATTTTTAAAATTAACATTTTTTTTAAAATAGTATTGATCCTGATGGTTGGGGTGGTTGAGAGAGATCGTGATGGTGAACATGGTCTTGGTATAACATAGTGTAATATGGCAAATATTTATGATATTATTGTGATCATAAGATAGCCGTGGGCAGTGTTGTCATGGGACATAATTAGAACACTGATGGGACACTGATAGGACATTGATGGAACAGATGTGACATTTGGGACATATATGAGACATAATTGGAACATATAGTTGTGGTTGAGATCGTGATGGTGATTGTTGTGATTGTGATCGTGATGGTAATGATGAATGCGAAGAAATATCAATTAAATATTCAAAAGGGGTTATAAGAATTTTATTAAAAATATCACAAATCAAAATAAAATGATTAAAAGTTAAAAGGTAATAAATATAATTATTATTTGTTTTTTTTTCTTTTTTTTTTATCAAAGCTTTTGTTTTTAAATTAAAAAAAATAAAGTATAAGTAATGGAGTGTAACAGAAGAGTGATACAGTGCTGTTATTTAAATGATGATTATTTTTTTAAATAAAAAGTTTTACCGGGTTTGTTAAAAAATAAAAAAAAATCATATTTTTTTTAAAGATGAGATTCAGATGCTTGAGCTTACGTCGCATCGGCGTTGAGCCCCCGGGGCATCGCCCGGGTTACATCGCTAGTCATTATAACTAACTCCTTTTTTTAAAAAAAAACTATGCGATTGAAAATAATTAACTTATATATTAACAATCCATTTTTTTTTTTACCATTTTATCAACTTTAGAAACTGAGAATGAATTTCGATTCCATCATGAATTGAAGAAATTCTGACGGAACAACTACATATTACAATTTATGAAACTGCTTTAGAGCATTCAGATTCCAGGAAGATGAGTTCCATGTTCCAAATCTAGCTTTGAAGCGTTGAGAAGTTGATTCATTTCACCTTGATCCACGAGTTTATGAAATTAGGTAGGAGAAACAATGGGTCTGTGAACTTTTAATTTCAAATAAAAACAACTAATTTCAATAAGGATATTGAATGCACGTCAGGGATTTCTCAATTACGCTGCAAAGATGAACGAATGCAAAAGTTCCGAAAGTCAAGTTGCGGAAGCTCATAAGGAGATTTTAAATAGCTTGAAGGATGCTGTGAATGGTATGATAGATAATACATATGGCAAGCAAGCAGCTGCTGGCATCAAGCAAATCTTGGAAAAAAAGAAGGATTATTCCGTAAACACTTAATGGTAATTAACTTATTATTATTATTTTATTATTTTGTGCAAAAAA